AGAGAGAGGTGGAGCCGACGGGAGAGGAAGGGAGCCGCCGTCAGATGCAGCCGTTGACTTGAGTACCAACGTCCGCTTTTCCCAGTGGAAACGAAGTTATTAAGGTCTTATTAAACTGCTTCTTTTCCTCAGCGTTTTCCTCCTCTGCTTTTTTGATCTCTTAAATAAAAAAAAGTGGGGCGGGCCTCGGCAAAGGGAGGAGAGAGGTGAGGTAGTAACGAGATTTGACTTCCCCGACGGATTTTCGTGGTTGGAAGATGGGAAAATGGCGCGAAATGAGGGAGGGATGGGAATGAACAAGAGACAGTGGAGTAGAAACAAATTGCCAGATGACGTTATACCGTCCCTTGACGTTACCTCGATGATGGCTACGTGACACTCGTCTGTCATTTCGACGTTATCACTTGGTGTTGATGGCAAGCGAGGTATTCCAGACACGTTTACCTTCTTTCAGCGAGTGATCATATTGTGGGAAGTTTCTTCAAACGAAGTTCGATTTGAGGGGTTCGTTAGATTGGTTCATCTTTTTTTTTGAGTTTTGGAATTTTGAAATATTACGACTTGGCAGACTTTTTGGGGGAGGGAAAAGATGGGGTGATTTGGGTATATGGAACAGGAAATGTATTGACTCGGCGATGTTCTCAGCTAATCAGTAAGATAATTTTTTTGGGGATTTTATATGTTGAAAATGAGGTGTTAATGTGCATTAAAATGCGATTTCTTTGATAGAAAATATGAGATTTATAATTGGATTGACATCTTCAGTTTGTTTGATAATTTTGGATTCTTGTAGGTTTCAGAAGGTGCAATTCCAGTAATTTTGATTAAAGATTACTAATTTTTTTATTTGAAACTCACAAGATTGGGGGAGAGATTAATATAATTACAGGGAGAGAAAAGTTAAATAAGAAGTACTAGAAAATCGTGGAAAATTGTGCTATATCAAAGGTAATCGTGGAGCGAAATTGTAGTTCAATACAAAATACCTTTTGCAGAGGATATCTTACTATTCATTCGATAAAAAAACACATCTGTG